AGATATGCGAGTTCTTAACAGGTCAACACTCAGCCCCGTACAACATGGCCGGTCTAACTACCGCTTTATAAAACTTACCTTCGAGTATCGGTGGCACTCGCTTGTCACACAGGACTCCAGATGCTAACCTCTACTTCATTCATCCTACCCCAATATGGTGTGTGACATCCTCGTCGATCTCTCCTCCCCCCCGGATAACCGACCCAAGGTACTTGATGCTGCATCTACTTGGGATGACCTGTGAGTCAAGCCTCACATCCACGCCCACTTTCCCCGGCTCAGCGCTGAACTTACACTCCATGTATTCTGTCTTCGTCCTGCTCAGCTTGAAACCCTTAGACTCAAGAGCATGTCTCCAAACCTCCAGCCTCNGAACGGGCTGAGCGCAGAGCCTTGGTGTAACCCCATAACAATCGGAAAATGCTCAGAGTCGCCTCCTACTGTCCTTACCCGAGTCTTAGCCCTATCATACATCTCTTTAATCGCCATAATGTAGGGAACTGACACACCTTTTACCTCCAAGCATTTCCAAAGAACTTCCCTAGGAACCTTGTCATATGCTTTCTCTAAGTCAATAAACACCATGTGCAGGCCCTACTTCCTATCTTTGTACTGTTCCACCAACCGCCTAACAAGGTGTATAGCTTCTGTAGTAGAACGACCCGGCATGAACCCGAACTAGTTGTCGAATACAGATACTGACATCCTCACCCTCGCTTCAACCACCCTCTCCCACACTTTCATGGTGTAACTAAGTAATTTGATACCCCTCTATTTGTTACAACTCTGAATAACACCTTTGTTCTTATACAGTGGAACCATCGCACTCCACCTCCACTCATTTAGGATCCTCTTTACCTTAAAAATAACATTGAACAACCCAGTCAACCATTCCAAACCTGCTCTCCCCACACACTTCCAAAATTCCACCGGTATCTTGTCAGGCCCGGTCGCTCTGCCCCTAGTCATCTTGCTTATAGCTCTCACCACCTCCTCAACCTCAATGCGCCTGCAGTACCCAAAATCACAATGACTCTCGGAATGCTCCAATTCACCTAGCACAATATCCTGATCTCCTTCTTCATTTAGAAGTTTATGAAAGTAAGTTTGTCGTCTCCTCTTAATTTGGGAATCTTCCATCAATACTATACCATCGTCGTCCTTGATGCATCTTACTTGGTCTAAATCACGAGCCTTCCTCTCTCTCAACTTGGCCAGCCGGAACAACTTTTTCTCCCAGCCTTTCTCCCCTAGTTCCTCATATATATGACCATAAGCCGCAGTCTTAGCTTCCGTGACCGCCAGCTTAGCTTCCTTTCTAGCTACCTTATACCTCTCCATGCTAACTCGCCTCTCCTCCTCACCTTTGCTCCCAACTAACTTTAGGTACGCCTTCTTCTCTTCCACCTTACCTTGGACCACTTCATTCCACCACCAGTCTCCTTTGTGGCCGCCAGAGGCACCTATCGAGACCCCTAATACCTCTCTCGCAGCCTCCCTTATACAGTTTGTTGTCGTAGACCACATAGTGCTTGCATCACCACTACTCCTCCAAGCTCCCATTGCCGACAATCGCCCCTCCAACTCTTGGGCTTTATCCTTAGTTAAGGCTCCCCACCTAATTCTCAGTCTTCCTCGAGCATACCTTTTCCTCCTCTTTAACCTAATACCAATATCCATCACCAATAGTCTATGATGCATCGTGAGTATCTCACCTTGCAATCCTTGCATAACCCTCTGTCACACTTCCTGAGGAGGAGATAGTCAATCTGAGTCTTCACCACCGCATTTTGAAAAGTGACCAAATGCTCCTCCCTCTTCGGAAAGGTAGAGTTCGCAATCACCAACCCAAAAGCCTCAACGAAGTCCAATAACGAGGTACCTCCTCCGTTCATCTCCCCAAAATCGAAGCCTCCATGCACCTCCCCATAACCACCTGTGGACGACCCAATATGACCATTGAAATCCCCTCCTATTAATAGCTTCTCAGCAGGCGGAACCTGGCGCACAATCTCATCTAATCCCTCCCAGAAACGTCGTTTAGCCTCTTCATCTAAGCCCGAATACGGCGCACAGGCCCTAACAACATTTAGAGTGCACTCTCCAACCACCAACTTAATAATCATCAATCTATCATTCACTCGTCTAACCTCAACCACAGACTCTCTAAGCTCCCCATCCACCAAGATACCCACTCCATTCTTACCCCTCTCGACTCCTGAGTATCAAAGTTTATACCCGTCCGCGTCCCTCGCCCTCAACTCTACCCACCTTGTCTCTTGTACACACGCTATATTGATCCTTCTCTTCTGGAGGATCTTCGCCAACTCTATAGACTTTCCCGTCAATGTACCTACGTTCCATGACCCAATTCTCAACCAATGGACACCCTTGTACTCTTTACCTCCCTTGCCTCCCGACCTGCCCTCTAACCCCTGCCCTATCTCCCGTCCTACCCCCTGCTCCCCCCGAGGACATGACCTCACTCGACCATCCCAGACCACAGCCACTATATCTACGTCAGACTAAGGGGAATCACTAACACACACAAGGCAATAGACCAAACTAGAAGAAGACAAGTTGCAACTAGACACTAATACGATGAGTAAAATAATATGGACTAAGACAAAGTATAAATTAAAGACTAAATTAAAGTATAAACTAAAGACTCAGGATCAGCAAGATATATAAAACTAAATATCCTAGACCCTCCGAATAGGGCAGGGAGCAAATACACAGGTCTAAACAATACTATGCCATAATGTTAATGTCTGAATTAAATTGCCCTAAGCTTTTAGAATAATAGAATAATATTAAGGGGGACTATCTCTACCAATTTCCCGGTGACACAAAGTTATACCACCGGAAAACAGGGGGACTATCTGTATAGGATAAAATATGTTCACATTTAATGATAGCATGAGAAAGCGACACGTGGAGCCGAAACAGAAGACAGTCGGGTCCGAACGCAACGATCTCGTTTGTTACAAGAGGAATGATATTCATAAAGGCGGAATAAATACCTGCCACCCGGTAGCATTCAATGAAGCATATTCTATAGCATTAAGTGCACGGTCTGTTATAGAGAATATGGTATTCACTGCCTACCGTCACACATTCTTCAATGGCCCTCATAATTGTCATTTAAGAGGGGCTTGATCCTAGGACCTTGTTCCCTAGGTGCAGCTATAAATAGTGAGCTCTACCATCATTGTAAAAAAAAAAGGAATTTTCGGACAAACAAACATTATACTTTGTTCAAAGCTCAATACGATTTTACTTTCTTGCTTATTTACATTGCTCTTACTACCTCCGGAAGATCTGCTCCCAGGACCGAGATGTCTGCTGTTTTACATTGATTTCAAGGCTAAGTCTTATATTTTTGTCTAATTTATTTATCATTTTAGGGTCAAATCGACTCACTTGTCTATAAACCACGTATAAATTCAATTGTACCGTTTTACGGGTAAACAGAGATGAGAAAGAGAAATCCTCATCTTTCTTCTTTTGTTTGAGAAAGGAGACAAAGTGAAAGTAAAAAAGAATTGAGGCCCTTATTTCATTATCTGATTTATGTTGTATGGTCAACTTCTAAGATTGGATTCCATGGTGCAAGCTATTTGCAAATGATATTGTATTAATTGATGAAACTAGTGAAGGAATCAACAAGCTTGAACTACGGAGAATCATTTTATGGAGCACGGAGATTAGAAAAAGTTTTAACACAAGACAGCATAAACATTACAAGTTTAATACCCACAAGAATAATCAAGTAAAGTGATAGTATCAAACAAGATTGGATGCTTAAATGCAGACATTTCAAATTTCTCAGAGTTTCAAGAGAAAAACATAATAGAAGAAAACAAAAATACAACATCAGAATAAGATGGCTGAACTAGATAAGTATTATAGGATTGCTATGTGATAACATACCTACCAAAGTGAATGAGAAATCTATAAAATAGTTGTGAGACCAACAGTGTTATATTATATAAAGTGAATTTTGGCTTCTAAGACCTAACACATCACGAGATCAGAGTCGTCAAAATAGGCAATATGAATTAGTTGGGATTAGGTCATTGTTGACAGACTTACATTAGGTTGGCGATTGTCAGTAGCCTTTTTAGTTTGGTTAGAGATTTACATGTAGTGTAAAGTTAAAGAAGTTCTAATTGCAGAAAACCCCTAATTCATCTTAGAAGCCGCAACTAGGTTAGGATTGAGGCATAGTTGTCATTGTTATTGTTGTTTGATGGATCTTCCAGCTAAACAGCTTTCAGGAGCATAGCTGCACCCCTTAACAAACACATGATAGCCTTCTTTAGATCTTTGATTCTGTTTAATCTCATTTGTTAGGTTTAACAGCCTTCTATAATGATTGCATAAAAAATTTCCAGATCACAACTAAGGTCCTGGGACTGTTGAGTTATATAGTGGTTTCACATGAGATGTGTAGGACTTCTAAAAGGATTTATAAAGATCTTGGCTCTAATACCAATTACCCTAAGGCTTTTGGTTGTATGGTCAGATTTTTTTCACATGATATCATAGCACATAGAGATTCTAGGTTCAAGTCTTACCACATCAATCAACATAATTATTTCTTTTGGATAATTATGTAAAGATAAGGTATTAGCAGCAAAGCATGAAGCAAAACCCTGTTTTTATAAGGCTTTCAGCATGTCACCTAAAAACACAACTCCCAGTTTGTATGTTTCACTTTCTCAGAACTATATGAAACGAGAAGTTGGTGTACCTAAATCATTCAATAATCTCCTATATATATGTGTGTGTGGGGGGGGGGGGGGGGTGTAAGAGAGAGCAGTGGTTGGAATAATTATGCGTCAATTAAACTGTCACAACAAAATTTTAGTTGACACAGTTACGAATAATTTTAGTTGAAAGAAACACAAGCCATCATGAAGTGGAGAACATAATTATAGTGTTAATTCTTACAGATGCAGTTCCACATGTTCAAAATAACAAAGAGCATTATTTGTTTGGTTAATTCGCAAATCATACCTGGAGGAAATTAGGATTCTTCTGGGTTGGCGATATTGCTACAGACTCCACCTCGGCAACATTGAGGACTTGATGGGAAAAATCAAACAGTTCAAAATGCAATTGTTGGCCAAGCAGGTAGATTATTGTACATCCACCCCAAGCAACTGAGTCGCCCAACATTTCGTAAGTGTTGGATTGTAGCTGAACAGATTCCTCCAAGTATTCCTACAGTTGGCAACAACGTCAAATCAACAGTTTACACCAAAGATATTTCCACTCTCTGACAATCAGAGTACTAAACAAGGTTATATCTTGGCCATGAATCACTAAGGTGCTAGGGAACAACCTTTTAGGCTTCCCATGAGGAATATTCATCTTGACGACACCCCCTCGACTCCAAAGGGATTGGACAGTTCTACTTACCTAGTGTAACTTTTAGTTCCGCTAGGATAATGAATTCCTCTTTTATTTTTTTGGAAAAGGTAATGATATTCTCTTATTGGTGTCTTCCTTTAACATATCTTGCTTTATTGTCAAATTTAAGAAAATAATAAAGAGTCCTGGCTTCTTGTATAATGACGGTATTACTTTATAGGTCCCTCTGTATTATATCTACTTTAATTGAGTTGTGCACAGTTGGAAAAATATGTCTGATGAATGTAGTTGGGTTATCCGTTATCCTGTCATATATTAAAACCAATGCTGAAACATGTTGGCCTTAGTTTTGCAGAAGAGATCATATCTTGGCTAAATAGACTAATTAACATGGACTACAAGTACTTGTAAAAAAAACTATCATGGACTACAAGTAGTAATTTTGACTAATTTAGAGAGGATAACCAATATTGGACTACCTGGAAAAGCATATTGTTTTTAGAGCTTCTGAAAAAATGCAGGGAGCGAATACATTACAAAGCAGAAGCCAGAAACTTTAGTGCACCGGCCCTTCCCCGGACCTCGCACATAGCGGGAGCTTTAGTACACCGGGCTGCCCTTTTTTCTTTTTATTTCTTTTAATCTTTGATAAGCAAGACAGATTTCATTAAACTGCACCAAGCAAGTGCGTAATTTGTACACAAAAAAGATTACAGTCTACCATAGTAACAGTAGGGAGTCAAAACTTTTGTGTTATTTAAATTGTATTAGAACTTTCCACCTAACGAAAGTGAACAACATATCCAGATAACCTGGAAAGGAGAGGGAAAAAAGTCACCATTACGTGAAAGAAGTAATTGCGGATAGATTAAGTGAAAAAAGAACATAAGGGAAGAGATAGATGAAGACTTGATGATTTGGTGAAGACAAGGCACACCTATATATAGGTGTTAACATACATGATAGTTTTTCTAAATTAGACAACATCAACTACAAGAACATAACTCCTAACACTTTAACTCTCAACATCCTCACACGTCCCCTCTAAGTCAAAGTGGGAAAACCAACTTGAATTTTTTTGTGTTGAAGACATTAAAAGTAGATATAGTCGGAATACATACTGGAAAATCGTGCCAAATCTGGCTGGAAAAGCTCTGGTCGTTGGAAAATATATTGCTGGAGCAGTATCCAGGAGATGAATCGAAAATGGTCACCAGAAAGAAGTGTGGCATTGTCAGAGAGGTACAGTGCATGGTGACGTTGGAACGGTCATAGGAAATAGAAGTAGTGATGCAGTCGGTGAAAAGAGGCACAGTAACGCTGGAACAGTCACAGGAAAGAGGCAAGGTGACACTAGAAGATTCGCTAGAAGAGGTGTGGTGCCATCGGAGAGGTAGCCAAAAGAAGGCGCTGGGGTGAGCGCGAAGAGAGTCGCTGGACGGTTGCTGAAAAGAGGAGCCGGGTGGTCAGTGAAAAGGTGTCAGGCAGTCGTCAAAAAGTGACAGCTATTTAAATAGCCGGACAGAGAGGAGTGGCGTGTGAAAAAGCTGCTTTGAATATAAGTTTTTCTGAAAAAAGGCAGAGTAGATTATTGCTGGGGGTAAGTCAGAGGAACGACCCAAAGAACCGGAGAGGGGAACTGGCTGGCAGAAGGATGAGCAGCATCGATTGCAACTGGGACAATGCAGAAAGAAATAAGGAAAACATTGGTGGGGCCGTTAGGTGTATGGCCACGTGATGGTAAGCATAAACGATTTGAATCTCAACTGCTGAAATCAATACTTCAATCAACACCACCATCATACCCAGTGTAATCCCACATAGTGGGGTCTGGACAGGGTAGTGTGTACGCAGACCTTATCCCTACCATGACTTTTTTTAACAATTAAAAAAAAAAAAGAGTCTCAACCAAGATTGTAAAGGCTGCGATGCCCTGTGAAAAGGAAAAAAAAAGGAAGAGACATATTAAAGACCTGATAATTTAATGAACACAAGGCACACCTACTTATAAGTGTTGAATAAAAACACATGATATTTTTACAGTGTGGGACAATAGCTAACATAAGAACATAACTCTTCTAACACTCTACTCCAACACTAAACACTTAACATTCTAATAGACTAAAATAGGGAATAGGTCAAACAAAAAGGAATAGAGGTAGTTCTTTTAATCAGAAAAAGGTACAGAGGTAATAAATTGCAGGGATTCTGCATAAACTATGATTCCATGACAGTCCAGCTGATAGTTGTTGATGTATTAATCAGGTAAATTTGTAACCAGAGACAAACATAATGTGTGCACAAGCACAACAAATTTGCAACATTGAAGACATCATTAGTGTTCAAAACCATTGAAATATGCAGTTAAAACTTAAAAATGCAATGAAATTTTATAAAACAAATGAAGCGAATGATGTTTTGTATCTTACAATTTGGAGTCCACTGAAAATCCGGTAGAAGTCCTTGGAAGTGGTAATATCAATAAATCCCGTCTTTGGGGCTGCACTCCATTTACTGCAGTATTTATCTAATGCGGCACTTGTAAAAGCAAAGGCATATTCCAGCACACTTCCAGTGTTAATATTGGCCTTATACAACAAATCTGAAACAAAAATGGAAAGGGGAAATGCTTATGTTACATGATACAAGAATAAAGCAAACAAGATTATCAACTTAGAACAACTCAAACAAATAACAGGATTTACTGGTTGTCACGTAACAATCATAGTAGTTATGATCATTACCGTTCTTAAAAGAAGGAATAAAAGAAAATAGAAATTGCACAAAAGCATGAAAGAGAGACAAAATTGGAGGAATCTTTATGAGTGTTTAACAAGAGGGAATCAGAAGTAACTTCCCACCTTAGCTTCCCTAGTTCATAACTACCTTCTATACATGAGCAAGGACTCAGTTCAAATGATTCATGAAAATGAGCCTAAACTGCAATTTTAATAATTTATTTATCGCTGGCGGTGAAGGGGAGCTTTGGCATAATTGGTAAAGTTGTTGTCGTGTGACCAGGAGGTTATGGTTTCGAGCCGTGGAAACAGCCTCTTGCAGAAATGCAGGGTAAAGCTGTGTATAATAGACCCTTGTTGTCCGGCCCTTTCCCGGACCCCGCGCATAGCGGGAGCTTAGTGCACCTGGCTGCCCTTTATTTATTGCTCGCGGTGGGACCGTCCAAATTCACATAAAATTTCGCCACATATACAAGCCCACATCTTTGTTACCAATCACACTAAATGTGCTGAAAAAATAAATGACAAAATATATGATACAGGGAGAGGATATCTTGCTCCTATATAGTTTACTACTCAATGATATGTGTATTTTACCTAGAGACCCTTATTAGCCACAGGAACCAGTCCAGTTTTTTCCTATCATCTTAAAAGCAAATGGCTTCATAACTAGTGAAACATGGCAACGAAAATGATACTAAAATGCTAATAAAGACAAGATATAGCAAGTTGGCAATATCTATCCCCAAGTTGCTCGGACACGGCTGCGGGTGTCCGACACGGTTATGATCTAGAGGTCGGATCCTTCGAATGTAAATTTTAAGATTCGGGGATACGAATCCTAGTACGGATACGGGTGCGGGGATCGGGCTCAAAATAATTCAAAAAAATAAATATAAAAATATCTCTAAATTATGAGAAACTTTGAGGAATACTTACGTATAGTTTGTAAAGTGTGGATTTCTTTTTCATTCTCATGTTGTAGATAAGTAAAAGATTGATTTCCTAGATACGGTAAGTTATCTTCTTCCCTAATTTTGGTTCTGATTTCGGGAATCAAATTGTATCTCGTCTCAAATTTTTCCGTCTGTCGTGGTCAGAGTACACAAAATTATTTGACCAGATCCGGTATGGATCCCACACACATACTAGTGTCGTATCGACACGGGTGCGGCACGTAAACTGCCGTGTCAGAGCAACTTAGATCTTTCCTAGTCCAAATATCTAATAAGCAAGTTTGCACTGTCTTTTGGATCCCAATTGTCTGATAAGCCTTTTAAAAAGTTGCAAATATTCTGGTACCTAATATAATTATGTAATAGGGCTTTCCTGCACATAAGACTAAATTCCTCTTCTTCAAGAGGAAAAAGAGGACACTGTAAGCATGATGGTACTAAAGCATCACAGTGACACAGTCCAATGGGGAATGTGCCAGAGAGACTTGAACCATGACTGCATTCTATGATATCAGACTTTAGATGCCATAATGAGTTGTTTAACATGTCTTAAATGATTATATCGACAAGCTCATTAAAAGGCTAGATACTGTAAAGGTACATACCAGCAGCTTCTGCTTGTCTTGATATAGTATGAAATGATGTTGGATTTGTACAGTTATGGTTGGACACGGTGGCAGTAGTTGCTGATTTAAACAGAGTGACCATAGGGCTATCTCCCCCATCTTGAGAGTGCAATATTTGCCCGTCAGCACCAGGAATCAAGCCCAACCAAGGGGCAGTTTGCATAAAATGGCGGGTATCCACTTCTCTCTGTCACATGTATAATACAGTAGATATTAAAGATTCCTCTTTGTGGAATATTATCACTACCACAACAGTAAATACCATCAGTTTTCATGCAAAAATAAGGTGATAACTAAAAAGTAAAAAGAACGTGAAGATTGTTGTAATTCAATGGTCCAAGATCAATTAACTTCATAGACAGATGTAAACAAATGAAAAAGGGCATCATGTCCAAAAAATAAAAAGGGTCAACAGCCTATTAGGCATTCATTTGCTCCATTCATTTCCTTTTACAGAAATCCTACTTTATGACACATAGGATGAGATCAAATATTGGAGAACCTTCTGCCTTAGGAGATTGTAAGCACAAGCTCCGACACAACTCCATACTTTATGCAAGTAATAAACTCTTATCCAGGTGAGCAGCAGGATCAGAAATGCTGTTCAACAGTCTGCCTTCCCCAAACATAACAAAGGACAATGTAGTAAACTCTAGTTACTGAGATATTCAAACTACTTTCAGATAACAAGGATTTAGGAAAATTGCCCAGGAGATCAAACCAATGTTATAAATAGCGCTCGCTACAGCGCTAAAAGCGTGTAGCGAGCGAGGCGAGTCAGTGTCGCCATTTCTGGGCTGTTGCGTTGCGAAGAAGAAAAGCGAGCGCCTCTGCCTTTGTAGCGAGAGGCGCTGCAATGCGAGAAGCGATTTGAGGCGTCGCTATTTGAAAATAATGCAAGAAAAGGCATCGGTTTATATTAAAACAACAAAATTAGGGCTTGGGTGAAATCACTTCTTACGAGCAGCGAACCCTTCTTCTCCAGTTCTTCTTCAGCGACAAAATAGGGGTTGGGTTCACATCTTCTTCTTCTTCCATCGTCAGCCATCAGCGACCCCTTCTTCAGCAGGTATGTTTCTTTCTTTTCTTTTCTTCTTCTTCTACTTTCTTCTTCTTCTGGTCGACCACCATTGCTGTTCTTCTTTTTTCTTTTTCTTCTTCTTTCTTCTTTCTTCTTTATTTCTTTGCTCTGTTTTTGGGTTCTTTGCTCTGTTTCTTCCATCATCTCTTTCAGCTCTGTTTTTTCAATTTTGTTGCACTGTTTTTCAAAATAGAGCAGAGGCAGTAGGTTTATTTTTTTTGTTGCTTGTTTTAGAGTTTAGACTATCAGACTTTAATTTATGAATCTATGAGTCTATGACTATCTATTGCGTCTTTAATTTTTGAATGATATATTTATTAATATATTATTGTTATTGAGTTTTTAGTTATATGTATATAATATTTATGTTTTTGTATAAATTGTCGCTTCACATCAAAAAGACGAGCGCTGCACGCCTCTCGCCTCAGTGAAACGGGCCCTCTTCGCTATTTGTCGCCGCACGCTATCCAAAACACTGGATCAAACGAACAGTAGGTCTATTAACCATCTTGTGAATTATGTTGGTGCAACAATAACAATAACATACCGAATAGGCGAATATATTCCCACAAGTGGGGTCTGGGGAGGGTAGCGTATACACAGACCTTACCCCTACCTTGTAGAGGTTGTTTCCTCGGGTCTTAACTTATGTTGGTGGCGATAAATATATGTCACAGAAAGAGAAGCAAAGCAGTTTTGGAGAAGCGGAAAAAAGTAGCTTCTCCCCAAAAACACTTTTGAAAAGCACTTTTGAGAAAAATACACTTAGAAGCAGTTTTTAAAAACTTGGTCAAACACTGTGCTACTCATAAGTGTTTTTCAAATTAGTCCAACACAAACTGCTTCTCACCAAAATTACTTTTGAGAAAAGCACTTTTCAAATAAGCTGATTTTTGCAGCTTGGCCAAACGGGATATTAAACTTGTTTATTTTGAAAACACAGAAACAATATAAGCAAAAGATCCCCTGAAAATCTAGATTGAAACGCTCTAATAGCTGAAATCTTGCTGGAAAAGTAGTTTGTCAGAAAGATGGACGGATAGAGGTATAGTGCTGCAAGAACGATCACTACAAGGAGGCATGGTGTGACCTGGAATGGTAACGGAAAAGAGATTCAATGCCATGAGGACAGTCATTGAAAAGAGAGATAATACTTAACAATCGTCGAAAAGAGGCATGGTGTCGTGGGAGGCTGGAGCGGTCCTCCAAAGGTGAAGTGCCGCTAAAATGTCGCTAGAAACAGGCATGAAACAGCGAAGCCGGAATAAGAAAATAGAAGAGAAAGAAGAAAAACATTAGCAGGACATGCTGAGTCAGTCCACCCACCATTAGGCGAAAACTACTTGACTCTCTACCAAGATCCTAGAGGCTTTTAAACTGAATCGTGTGACCACCTCATCTAAAGTTTAAACTATTAAAGATAGTATATTTTATTTAACTACTAAATCTTGATGAGAGGTCCTCTTAGAGTTGGACCTACCTAATAACATCTTCACATACCACCTGTGTGGGGGGGNCCTGCATTGACCTAACCGTATCCCTTATTTGGCTAATCAACTACCTGTTATAGTATCTGAAAGGATAATTTACTTATTGGTCATACCAGAAGCTCAGGAAACTTACCAATACAATATCAAGAAGTCCCATCCAGTACAATATGCTACCAATCTCCTTGATTCCACAAAGGACTTCAGCTTTGAGTTCAGATTTTGAATGCCAGCAGCTAAGATGCTCCTTGACAAGCCTCATACAGCCTAAGCATCGGAAAAAACAGTAAAAACACCATTAGATATCGAACAACAATAACCACTTAACAACATCGGGAAGCAGAGAATACAAAATGATATTTTATTTTTGGGATAATGTTTAATTATTTATTGATGTGATTTGGAATTGTCGCACATATGATGCATACAAAAAAGTAGACAATTCCACACAAAAGAAGATTCTCGTCTAAACAGCATACAGTCGCCAGTAGTGTTACATTCCTATTAAATAAACATTAAGTTTTGTGCATCCCCCATTATTCAATTCATTCATCCAATTATGGCCAAGGTCAAATTCTTCTTTGGTAGATTCATCACTGTCAAGAGGTCTGGGACCCTCCACCAGTGTATTAGCCTTTAAAAGATGCCGCTTCTCCTTTGTCCCGAATGCAGTTCATCCCTTGCGCAATCTGACTGTTCTGTGAGGAATTATTGAGTGAAGAGCAATGCCAAAAACTCAGAATTCAGCAATAAGGTCAAATTTAGATTGGTCTGCTTAAGACTAGCTTTCTAACTCTTTGATTGACAAATAAAATTGACTAGACTTCGGTAAAAGAATTGACGTGACTTCGGAAATGCAGACTTTTGCAATTCGAAGCTTGAAAACCAGGGTTTTGCCGCTAACCAAGTTTTAAAGGGCTGAATATAAGTGGATCATGGCAGTAAGGCCGCTCTACCACTTAGAATACTATTAATCCAGTTTAAAAGAAAACTAAATGAAATAGCTGCTTTTCTAAGCATGGAATATCATATATGCACTAAAAGATAAATACAAACTGATTCTAACTAAGATTACGGCAAGATTCTGCCTGTATGATATACATTACAAAAGCTGCTCTAGAAAAGATTATATCCATAAATCATAACTAATTGAACGAAACCTAAGAGACTATGCTGAGCGAGCAACATATTTTACTAAATTGTGCTCAGAAACTAATTAGAAATTTTCAATTTCAAACTTGCAGCAAGATTATTGACCAAATACATTGTCTCTGCATTCCATATTCCTGATGTTGAGAGCACATTAATGACCAAAGAAGATATATATCTAGAGCCAGTTGAAAGGGAAAAATCCAAGTTTGGTTCTTTAGCAATACTTCACGTTGAGGAGCAAAGGAGAGAAATATCTAGAGCCCTTATAGTTGAAAGGGGAAAAGGCATCTAAGTTTAGGTTATTTAGCAATACTTCAAACATTTTCTTCTTTCCTAATTCAATCACCACGGCATAAAAATCATTATGAGAGGTTATTAAACTCAAAATCCGAAGACAAACTCAGCGCTAACTCTCTAGAAGGCAAACTAGATGAGAAAAAGACTAATCACTTGGCTCGCACACAATACCTAAAGTACAAGAAGCTTCCTATTGTGGACCAAATAAGCTCAAGTATTTAGTCTAACATAAACCAGAGTTACCCGAAAAGAATTTTGAAGGAGGTTTTGCTTCTCCTTCTGAAAGAAGGCAGTAGGAATATTACACATAGTAAGGCAAAACAAGAAAGGGTGCAACATGGCTACCATTTCAAAAACTAACTTACACTAACAGGAGATGTAAGAGGCCAACAATGTCGAGTTTCAAAGGACAGTGATTATTGGTTAACCAACTACTCTGGGTTAGTACACGAACAGTCTCCCACAGGATGGCACCTTCACTGAAGTTGATTTCTGCTACCAGTATAGGTGAGGCAGAAGGATACGAGTCATTCAAAAAGCTGACATTTAGATTCCTTTGGAGGTCAACTTTGCTACATAATGCAACAAACTTACCTGATATACCACCATCAAATGGAAGCAACCCTATAGATTTTGGCAAAGCTTGTTGCAATCCAGTAATCATTGGTTCAACAGTAGTTATCTGGACGAGAATTCGCAATGCGTTAGCATTTAAACCAGAGCTTTGTAATGATAATATGCCACAAATTGCAGACAGATGAAGCTAAAAATACTTTCATTTATATGAACTTAAAGTCAGCAAGATGATTATCAAATAAGGAAAAACAAATCATGATAAATCAGTGGCTCTAGTACAGTGACATGAATACTGAAATAATAATGCAGGACATTATCGGGAGAGACACTAGCAATTGTCATAGATCTGTTTACCTTGTTCGATATATGATCCAAAAGGGCTCGCATAAGCCAAGGCAGTGACCTAGATCCCACGAGCTTGACTAGAGAAAACATGTGAGGAACGCCAAAAAAACCACAGTACAATCGAGCAAAGCTCTGGTAAGCAGAATTCAAATCCTACAGCAAGAACAAAGGGAATGATTAATTATACTATATAATAATTCAAATATCATGGAAAGCAATTGTATCCAGTCTATCCAAGATACATGAAATATAATTATCTTCAAATCAAATACAACTATGACAAAAAGTTGTTTGCATCTAAGTTGCTCGGACTCTTCACTTTAGGTGCCACACCTGTGTCGACACGACATGGGTATGAGTATGGGATCCTTACCGGATCTAGTCAACCGATTTTGTTAAAATAGCACGGTCTAGCCAGTTTTCGGACTGGTCATTCAAAAATAGTCAGCGTTTGCCAAGTCATTGAAAAATAGCCACTATTTTGCTGCAACAGAGACCGGTCCAGCATAATATATTGGAGTTCGGTGCACCTGTGTATGAACTTCCAGCATATTATGCTGGACCGGTATACTTTGCTGGCTCCAGTATAATATACTGGAGACTGGAGCACCGGTGCTCCAAACTCCAGTATATTATGCTGGAGTATTTTTCCGGATTTTGAACAGTGTTTTCGTTCAGATTTATTTTAACATGAAAAGTGGCTAAATTTCGATTACTTTTGAAACTGTGGCTATTTTTGAATGACCATTTGTAAATCTGGCTATTTTTGAATTTCTCCCACCGATTTTGGATACTTTGACCAAAATCGACAGAGAAATTCGGGACAGATATAGTGATTTTTGAAATCAAAACAAAAGTTAAGGTGAAATTGAATACCTTGTATATAGAAATTTCTATGTCAGTCCTTTTTCTTTTATCTCCTTCTCGAAGGACTGAGGCTAAGGGGAATTAAGGGTACGGAGTAAGGGGATTTTTGGGTGTACCGTACCAGTACCACTACCGGTCCTAGGGGGAGAATACTTAAGGGGGGCGGTACTTAGAATATTTTTAAATTAAAATTTTAAAAATTTGTTGTATTAAATATACACAAACTTAGAGGTTAAAAACATAATTAAGGGGGTAGAGGGGGTTCTAAGGGTACTTTTTCCGGTACCCTCCCACTCCCTGTTCCCTTTGCCTAAATCCCCTACCCCTACCGCCCAACCGGACTGGGACAGAGCAGTACTGGTACTGATCGGACCAGTTCAGGGTAATCCCCTCCCCTTAGCTTTGGAAGTACTGATGAGGACAGGGTTTCAATCTCTCACATTCTATATGCTGATGATACTCTATTGTTTTGTGAGCCAGAGAAAGAACAGATGCTTTACCTCAAAGGAGTTCTTTTAACTTTAGAAGCAGTCACTGGTTTGAGGACTAATTTGGCAAAAAGTAGTATATTCAGTATAAATGCTGATGATATTATTGATGAATTGGCTGATATTTTGGATTGTAAAGTGGAGAAGTTTCCAACAAGTTACTTAGGGCTTCCTTTGGGGGCAAAGAAAAATGATCCTAATATATGGAAAGGGGTTTTGGACAGATGTGCAAGTAAGCGAATTCCTTGGAAAAAACAGTACCTATCCTTTGGGGGTAGGCTCACTCTAATTAATAGTGTGTTGGATGGTATGCCAACATATTTGATGTCTTTATTCTCAATGCCTGCTTTAGTAGAAAAAAAGATGAATTCTTTGAGAAACCAATTTCTATGGGAAGGGAATGCTACTAAAAGAGATCACATTTGATAAAATGGCAGATAGTATTGAATGATAAAAAAGGAGGTGGTCTGGGAGTAAGGAATTTGAAATTGCATAATAAGAGCCTACTTTTCAAATGGCTTTGGAAATACATTCTGGAAGACAATAAAGTTTGGAAGAATTTGATTAATGCCATTTATGGTAAAAGAAAGGCTGGAGACCTCCTGCTTTACACATGAAGGCAAGAGGTGGTTTATGGAAGTGCATTAGCGGACAATGGGAAGAATTTTTGGATTATACTAAATTGGTAGTTGGAAATGGACAAAGAATCAAATTTTGGACAGATGTATGGATAGGGGATGCATGTCTAAAATCTAGATTCCCTAATTTGTACAATTATTCTGTTAACAAGGATGGTACCATCTCTGATTTCTACTCAGATACAGGTTGGCAGATAGTTCTCAGAAGGAATTTGGATGACTGGGAAATTGAGGATTATTGCCAATTGCAGCAGTTAGTAGGACAAGTTGCTATTGATCACAACAAGGTGGATTCTTTGATTTGGACTGTCGGCAAGGATAGAACTTTCTCTGTGAAAAGCTGTTACGACAGGTTGATAGAACAGTCAAATCACAGACATAACAACTGGCCTTGGAAGATTATTTGGAAAACCAAAGCTCCAGTCAAGGTAGCTTGCTTTGGGTGGATAGCAGCCTGGGGAGCCTGTTTAACTCAGGACAATTTGCAGAGAAGAGGTTTAAGCCTGTGCAATAGGTGTTACCTATGTGAAGAAGAGCAAGAATCAGTGAGCCATCTACTTCTGCATTGCAGAGTATCTAGGCAATGCTGGGATCTATTTTTTAGCATATGTGGTATTTCATGGGTGATGCCTCAAACTGTGAGGGGCTTATTTGAAACTTGGCAATCCCAAAGAGTACCTAGAAGGCTGAAACAGATGTGGAGAACCATTCCATTGTGCATTCTATGGACCTTATGGCTGGAAAGAAACAAGGCTTGCTTTGAAGGACATAGAAATAACATCATTAGAATTAAGAATATATGTCTTCATAATCTGTATTTTTGGTGTAGATGTAGCCAGTTAGGAAATTTGAATCAATTTATGGAGTTTCTGGAGGTGTTGGGAGGGGGAGAATAGTTTGCGGATGTTGTAATTTGGGATGTTTTTCTGTAACTTTATTGTACCATCTTGGTACCTTATTAATAAAAGTTTTACCTTATCAAAAAAAGACAGCCCTACTTGTGTGTAAAATCTCAATAGATATTTGAATTATTTTTAGCCGAATCCCCGCACCTATATCCGTACCCCCAAATCTTAAAATTTAGATCATGAAAGATCCGACCTCTAGATACGCACCCGTATCGGACACCCGCACCCGAGTCCGAGCAACTTAGGTTTGCATAGCCATTTGGCAATAAATTTAAAGAGGAGAAAGTGGAGGTTGAGGTGGTTGAATGAAAGACAACACCACCAGATCTTTCAAAGAATCCCCAATATTCATAGAAGATAAAAGATATAATGTCATCGAAAAATAATATACAGATAGCCATGAACTTTAAGAAAAATTAATCAGAGGGAGTGACAGCAAATTACAAACTCTCAAAAACTTATGTACTTTAAATTTCACATTTATCTCTACACTGGCATACAAGTCTCATTGAATATTTACTGGCATACACGTCTCTAGTTATCAGAAACAGTCTCTCTACCCCTTCCAGGATAGGGGTAAGGCTACATACATCCTACCCTCCCCAGACCCCGCTTGTGAGATTACACTGGATTGTTGTTGTTGTATACACATCTCTAATTGGACTAAAAAGACTCCTTGTAAAAACAGAACCGAATGCAAGTGTAATTACAATAACTAAACCTTAGTCCAACTAGTTGGTAACTTTTATATAGATCATTTGCTGCAATTGTGTATTCTGTCTTTAGTAGTTCAATTGATTCTGAGAGATTTTAGGTCTTCTGAAACAACCTCATAAGATATACCTCATCTCCCTTAGCATTCAATCATCACAATGTCGCACCTATACAAGGGCATGTGGAGATCTACCTAGGAAGCGGGGAAACTATCACTTCGACCTTTTCGTTTCCTCTATGTGCTCTACTTGCACTGTTAATTGCTCATTTTATCAAATTGCATTAGTAAGATTCAGATATCATTTCTTCAGCTCAGAGAGTAACATTCATAATATACGACTGAAAATACACTGAACAACTGCTGAAAAAAGTTGCAACTGAAGAAACTTAATAGACATACAGAAGCCTCAATATGGTAACAGCAGAAAACATCATTTAAAGAGTAATAGAACATTCAGGAAATGTGCCAAGGAGGTAGTTTCTTACAGGAGTACCACAATAGAAGTTTGGCTTTGCATAAGGAACCGAAGGCTTTTGGACAGGAACAGGGGGTACTCGTGATGATCGGACAAAGCGCTGAGTTGTATTGCAAAGGATGAAATTTGGCAAGAAGTCATTTTGCATTTCTGTCCAAATCTAGAGCACATCAAGAGCATAATTAGTATCCTTATTACATTAGTGAGTTGTTCCGGTATTGACAACTGTCTTAGTAAGACTCTTAATTAGAAATGTTAACAGGAAAACAATTCGGCCCGGGAGATGTATAAAATTCAGGAAGAAAAATTAGCACATATCGCAAAACGATATTTGAAAACATAGATTGGCCAGTTATCCATGTAAGCAGGTTGATCGTTCAAGTACTCCACACAAATGAAGACAATCAAGGTTAATCTACTGTACTGATGATAAAACTAGCACCGTACTAAAGCACAGCACATTTATTTTGGTCTACAGACCCTTTTTCTTCACTTGATCGATAAACTAAGCTGCAGCACTTCCTTTCCAAAAAAAATACAGACCTTGCAGTAACCAAAATGACGGGCTATATTTTCTGTTTATGTGTGCCCGCGTAGGCATTGTTGTTTTTCTCTAGTTACATATGAAACCTACTGCAAATCAGTGCCTTGTTATTTACTCTTGTCTCTTCTTTTTCATTTTCCTCCCTTTTCTCTTTTCTTTGGAAGGGGGGAGGGGTGGGGACTATTTTAAGTTTTTAGTTTTGAACTCTTAGCTTAGCATTTGGTAGTTCTCTGTTGTCCAACTATTGACTGTAACTGTACTCGTCACTTGCTTGAATTGAATGAGAACCCATTTGTCATGTAGCCCAGAATGAGAACCAATTTGTCATGTACCCAGCACCACTCCATCACCCCACTCCTATGCCCACCCACAGACACAGTGTGCCAACCATCTTTCCCTCCATTCCCACGTACCTCTTCCCTTATCATAATTACCAACAGTCCCCAAGGAGAAAGCAAATTTAGAATCTTGCAATCATATCGTTTCCTTTTCTTCAAAAGAAAAAAATAAAAAAGCAAAAGCCAACAAGTCAGAGGAATATTTTTTAACATTTTGCAGAAATTAGAATAGGGTTGAAGACCAGAAAGAACTTACAAAAGAAAATAAAACTGGGAAAGTATATTGCACCAGAACATCATAAAGGTGAAGACATGGAATCAAAATTAGGTCCAACAATTAACTTTTCAAATCATAACTACTGCGAACATGTCGCCCTTTTCATTGGTTGCATATGCAGTACATATTAAGAAATCAACGAAGTTCATAACTATGTGATATACATATATATTCACAACTGACTAGAATTGCGGAGCTTATAAAATCGTAATTAAAGCCACAACTCACCAGAATCAAGAAGATAAGTTAAGGTGGAGCAGGAGATAAAACAGAGATAGATAAATATGAGTATCTGTCATACTACGTTTCACACAGGATTGAAAAAGATACTGACAAACCTGAGAAGCAAGTCGACTAGAATAAGAAACAAGGGATACATTCTCCTGCATCTCGTTCAACATAAGATTGAAAGAATCTATTATAAGGTCTTTTGAGAGCAATTCATGAGTAAGTTGCAAAATGTCCAGCAACATTTCCAGTTCCTGATATATTTAGAGAGAGAGAGAATAAGTGTTAAAATTTTCAATTAAGAGCCAAGGAAGGTTCAGATTTTGGGTTAATTCAGAAGATATGTGAGAGTTTGTACCACAATGGCACATAAATCCTGTGATTCAAAGCGATCAAACAGGAATTCAAGATTATCTCTGAACATTTTGTTCATCCTATCAGCAATCAAACTTCTCAAGTTGATGGTCCTTCCTAGAAGCTGCATGTTACAAAAATTCTAGTTAGAAATTAATAACTAAAGGAGTGAACGTAATGTAGGTAAACCAAGATTCTCATATACAACTCCAAAATTAGAACATAAATAAGTAAAGTAAAAAGTGTACTCTCTCTAACAGCTTAAGCTTTCCGTTGAGATGGTCACACATTTCAACATAAGTAAAAAACAACTGGTCAACATGGATGCATCTCCTCTAAAATGAATGGTGCCTCGAGGATATGTTTAACTTTTGTAGACTAATGCGGCATCTATTCTTTTAAGAGGTCATTGTATCCATGTAACTGGTTTTCATAAGTAGGTTTGTGGAACCTTTGACAGATACAATATAATATCTTCTCTTTGCAGATACAGTATTATATTTTTTTTTTCTTTTTATAGAAATTAACAGTTAAATAATTATATCAATAGCATATTTTCCATCTCCTTATTTTTCCACTCTTTTTTCTTTTGTAAAAAAGGTTGATGTCAGACAAGTCACTTGTATTGTACCACGTCTGTTAAATAAAACATATCCAAACTTCTCAGCGCACACCAATCAGGAATTTTATTTCTCAATCTTTGAAAATGGAAGCAAATGCAAATTTGGGAAATTCCATATATTGAAGAAAACGAGGTAACTTGATTACTAGTTGAACCAACTGTCACTGGACATAACAAAATAAAAATAAAAACAAATAAGTTCATTACCAGATACAGAATCTATATTTATACTTACCTTCACTCTAGTCGTCTTTAAAAGTGCTATGAATCTCATTGGCTGGACCGCAAACTTTTCGCCAATATCTATGGCAAAGAGGAATGATGGATCAAGTAGCTCCCTGCAGAATAGGAGATCGTCAACTTCTGATAGACCATCTCATTTAGTAAAAGTTACACGTAAAAAGTAAAGAAGAGAAATACCTGGCTGCCCAACTTTTGTAGTATGTAAAAATAGTCTCACACAACTTCAAGACAAATATATCAAAACAATTGTCCACCTAGAGAATATGGAAAACAAAAGGTGCTGTAAATGCCTTTTAATTCACAAAGGGAAGATAGTGCTTCCGATTGAATCTGCTAAACTAGATTTCCTAAAAGCATAATCGATATTACGATATCTTAAACAAATTGCACTTTAAATATCACATGAGCATATGCTACAAGGTGAGAATAATGCTTGAAATTCAAAATAATAGAGTTCCTTTAGCTCATAAGATAGAATTAAGAATACAATTCAACAGCATCAAAATCTGCTGAATATAGAGATTGCATGTACATATGTGAAGTTAGGAAGATGGAGAGAAGATGACCAAAAGGTTTTCCCCGGGATCAACAATGTTAATATGCGAATTTAACGGTTTATTACCTCAGCTTCGATTTCATCATATAGAAAGCGTTGCTTGAGGATCACTAATGCTTGCTGAGCAGCATCATTATAGATGTCAAATGGCATCAAGGCACTCTCCAGAAGGCCAATGATTGGAGATTCGATCACATGATCCACCAACATCCATGGAAGGGAGCATTCAATGGGGAACTGCAAATAGATATGAATAAAGTTCCTTGAAATAGCCATTAAAGATTAAGAAGAACTAGGCAAAGCCTTTTCCGTACATTTTTTAAATTTGTTTGGGAGTAAGTAAACTACAGAAAGCACAACTTTTAAGATATTAAGAAGATTCAGGGCGCCTCCTACTTCCAACTCACAAGAAAGGAATATCAGGATGTTGATATGTATTAAGAAAGGAACCTCTTTAGCTGTGAAGTTGAAATCCATAGATATACCACCAGCATGGAACACCAAAACTTCTAGCAAATAGGAATTTAACTATGCAAAAAAGGGATCATCAAGCAAGTTGGCACTTATATACCTGTATAACACGAGAAGACTCCAAATAGAATTCTCTAAACCATAAGAAACCAAGATCTGTCAAAGTTCCTAGAGTAGCTGCAAGGAGTGCATTGAAATGGATTATGCTAAGGAAGATATATTACAGAATAAACAACTTCCATATGCTCAAAATAGTGTTAGAGGAGTCTGATGCAAAAACATAAAGCAATGGCATATGAAGGCCAGAAAAATGACACAGAAGAACTAACCACACTCTTATACGTGCAAATAGCTATGACTAAATAAGTACAGTATCACTAACAATTATACACCCTAACTTGCACATTAATATAAAAGATCATGAATTTTAATGAGCCTTACAGGATATGAATAACACAGTATAGATAGATACCTGTGTAGTCTAATACATGCAAGAAAAAGCCAAGCTTGTAGAAGAATGTCTCCAGTTGTTTCAAGTCATTGATAGGTATTTCAGAACCACTATTTCCAAAAATGCCACCAGGCTTCCGCATGTTGCCACCAGAAACCACCTCATATATGAGGAACTGCAAGCAATGGACCTGGCGAAAGGGAGAAACATTGATATGAGTAATATATAGTTTACCCAATATCCAAGGTAGACGCTTCTAATGTATTCTCTTTTAGATATAATCACTTTCATCATTATTTAGTTTGCTAGTTGCTACCAATTTTGCACTAACTTACAGAGGAAGAAAAGCACTACTCCGCGAGATATAAAGTCATAAGTATGACTTCTGACTTCTAATTTGGGAAAACTTGACTAATATAGTACTTCAGGAAAAGATGTTTTAGATGTGCCATGGATGTGCAACTATAAATGCTTTAATCAAAGAATACTGAAATTTTTTATATTCAGATCCAGAAAAATTAAACATCTTGTGCCTAGGGGTGGCAAACGGGCGGGGTGGGGCGGATATGGACGGGTCGAAAATGGGTGATACAAAAGAACGGGTAAATTATCCAACCCAACCCATATTTAATACGGATAAAAAAGGGTTACCCCGCGGATAATATGAATATCCATATTATCCATGGATTCTTGAATATGATCACTTTTGGGAGAATTCCATGTCTCCCAAACTTGAGAAACCCCCAATTTGAGGCTTTACAAATGTAAAAGTTAAACCCATTAGTTATCCATTGGTTATCCATTTTCTAAGTGGATAATATGGTTCTTATCCATATTTGACCCGTTTTAAAGTTCATTATCCAACCCATTTTTTAATGGATAATATGGGTTGATAACTCTTTTCTTTTAAGCATTTTACCACCACTACTTGTGCCTAACAGAATAAAGATATTAGATAAGTAACAGAATATAACCCATCTGCCACTACTTGGATCACGACAATGCATGTATAAGGACAATGAAGCTTATAAAGAAAGTAGTAAATTTTCACTCTGGCCATGTAAGCCTCCTTTGTGAGGTGTCACAAGTATTCAAATGAGATAAGAGACCACAAACTATTAAAGAAGCAGTTCTACCCAGAGCAATACCTTGAGTTAATAAGAATATCATTTATGATTGTCATGCGTTTTAACAATAATCAGAATTTGTACTTGAAGTGTACTACAACATTGAATACCAAATCAGAAAATATAAGGAAACCTGAGCAGATGTTGGTGCCACTGGCCTTGGAAAAAAGAAGGTCCCTCTGCTTTCTTCACCACTATGCTGATATGACTGCATTTCAGTCTCTGGCTTACTAGTATTTGCCATCCAATCTGCTGAAAGTGTCCTCATATCAGAAAGAATTCTGAAAACATTGCAAAAACGCAGAGCAATTAGAGACTAGAAGGATCATCAATTGGACCAAAATCCAAGTTATCCAAATCAGTTATGTATGACAACAAGGTACTCCAACTTGAAAGACCTATTGCGTATGCGGGGTTTGATACTCCAGAGCCAATCTGTATGGATTCATATAGAAAGTTAAATTTTCCTCAAATGCGTTAGCATTTGCATATCCTGAAGCATGGAATACCCAACACAAACAAAATATACAAAGACCAAAAAGGACCAAGGACATAATTTCTTATCCCAAAAACCCCCATAATCTTCTTACCCATTAGTGACCAAAATCACTTGTAAAACATAATCTTAGCCACCCTACAAGGTATAATTTCATTTTTTTTCTTTTGTCTGTTTTTTCAATAATCCCTAGCGTCAAATTTGCTCAGTTCTCGCACCACTCTGGTTTCCCTTTTGCTTACTTGTAAATTTCAGCTTTCAACTATTGTGTATAGCTCCCTTGCTTTCACATCATTTTCCCCAATACACTCCCAAAACTATGCAAAAGCTTTAACTTGCTGCTTTCTGAATCTCACAAGTCACAGTTGATGTTTTCTCACTTATTTGTATATCAACACTTCAAAGTAGAATTGTATGCCTCTCCACCTTCAGCAAAAAGTACTCAATTCCAAATTGTGTTCCCAAAGAAAAGGTGTTTCATCTTTTTCATAATAAACATCATAATCAGAATGTTATTCTCTACCGAGTTTCATCACTCATAAATTGTCTCTCCTCTTTCGAGAACAGCCTTTGTCATGATTAAGTGGAGTTTTATAAAATGTTCCAATTTATCACTTGATTCATTTATCGGGGACAACTTTATCCTTTCTTTAATTTCTCATCAATGGAATCTTTTACGTTCAGCCCAAAATAAGTTTTTAAGAAAATAGCTTTACACTTTAACTTAGGTAATAATGTTTTGCTTTAAAGATATGTTAATCACCAAAAGAAATCTGTATCCTACTCCAGTCAAAACATGCATTCAAACTATTACGACTCATTCATTCGTTGAACCTTGGGGATCACTATTACGATGATGAATATACTTGAGCTTTCATTGACTTAATAAAAGAAAAGAGAATAGTAAGAACTGCCCGAAACAAAAAAGAAAGAAAAAAAAAAAGAGGAAGTGGTTTCCACCTAGAAAGGTCTTTCTTCTTTCGAAATGTTGTCCGCAACATTGTCGCCACTGTATTTTGAACAAAATCTTGCACCTCTGCATGGATTGTCTCCCACAAGGCGTCGGTCACTGAGGTGTCAACCTTCTGCATCATCGATCCAATACTCTTGATGTAGCTCACAAGTTCAACCAGAGCCTTCCTTTCTTCAGCACTATAATTGTACCGTACTACCTTCATTTCAATTTAAGAATAGTAAATTTGCAGGTATCATGTCAGATGCATATTTTTTTTTAAAACAAAACAAAAAAAAAAGCAGCTCTTCTCAATCATTTAGGGAGCAGTTCCGTTTTCTTTTCTTCCTTATTTTATGGCAGTTCCATTTTCTTTTCTTCTTTCCTTTTTTTTTTTTGGTGANAGAATCAAATTAAATGAAACCTTTTCATAGTCAGAAAAAGATGCAGGCATCTCTTGTGACTCTATTGGAACGGGATCCTTGCATGGGCGAGAAAATTTCCAAGCACATTGCTCCCAAACTCGTGCAGTCCATCTGCTTAAAAGTTGAAAACCTTCAACAACCATGTCATAAATATTTCCTTTGACTTCCTTAACCCACTCAACATCCACACCATCTATTGACTTTAGCAAGACAAGCTGCAAAGAAAGCCGAGATATAATATGATCAGAACCATTCACTAATGAGGATTCATATGCATCATAGTCTGGGTATTCGCGAAAAAAGGGTTTAGTGAATCTTGGGTTTTCATTTCTTATTAAAAAAAAGAACTTGAAAAGGGAGATTAGTTTAGTTTTCTGGTTAAGTTTTTATGCAATTTTTTCTGAGGGCCAACGGACACAGTTCGAAATTGGCGTATAATGGCCCTGCCCGTCTACCTTTCTCCATTTAAATACTAGGCTTTTGCCTGCGGCGCGGTCCGAGCCCGTGATGTGTGCCTAACCCAGACATCATGTGCTATGCTCTTGCCACTAGACCAAAGCATTGGGGGCCAAAATTTCTTTTTCAGTTACAATTCATTGGAAACTAAAATTCTCCCCCAAAACTATGTAAATTTACCACTTGTGTTTGATGCAGCTTCCTATCCCATTCTCACGCTCTGCCTATTCCCCTACCCCAACACCGTAATAAAAGAACAAAAAGAAGAATGATTACAGCCAGAACACTGTTCCACACATTCTAAAAGAAACAAAAGAAAAGAAAAAGGAAAAGTGTGGACAGTTGGTTCCCATGCCGATGCTCAAGAACCAAATACTTTTCTACCTTTCCATTTCTTTTCTTTCATTTTCCTCCATATGTTAAATCACAAATAAACCCATCCATCTGACATTCAATAACTTCCATATCTCCCAATCTCTCTTTATAAATTAGTTTTAACTTGAAATTCCTAGCTTTCTATTGTCCCTGCAGTACATTTAAGTATTCATATTAATTTGAAAGGAAATTCATATTTGAAGTACAGGACTGATCATATCGGGAGAAAAAATTAAATCTTATTTACAGGTTCCGTATATTCTGAAATTAACATTTCCATCATACATCTCTAAGCAAAAGAGCTATGTTACATTGGAAATTCATTTGTCTTGATGTACTCGTGGCGGATGAATGGGTGTGACATGAGTACGGGTGCTCCATGCAAATTTCTTAAATTACAACCAAAGATGGTAAAAAGTGTGTATCCATAACAGATATTCACGGACCCCTGTTGATTCATAGCTATAAACGAGTCTATATTAACATTGCTAAAAATATTGGAAGATCCAACCTCCACCTCAAACGAGTCTCCCCATAGGCCCGTACATGTTGAGTTTCTGGAGCCAGGTTCATATATACTATCGGGCTCAATTCAAATGGAAGATCCAACCTCCACCTAAAACATTGCTAATCAGAATATGTGATACTTGATCTGTTATCACATCGGCCACCTAAAACATTGCTAATCTGAATCTGTGAACTCGACTTGCCATCAACTCTACGAGCTGTATTATTTACAAGTCGTAGAACACATTGAAAAAAAAAAGAGAAGAAGAAGTCAAGAGAGAGAGAGAGAGAGAGAAGCACCTGACTCATGGCTGAAGCAAAACGAACAGTGAAGTCATCATGCTCAGCACGGATCGCCCCAATATGGTTGACAATCAGATATTGCCGCTGATATGTAAATGTTCGTTAAGAAGTTACTTAAAGTAAACCCTTGAAGATCTTCCAGTGGATAGTGGAGGAAGTTTATTAGACAAAATAGAGGAAACAAATGGAAAGTATAGAGAAATTACTTATAAGTTAAAATACAAATAAACTCCCATAGATGACACGTACTATAAAAGAACTAAAGCATTTAAACTTTCTATCATTAAATATGAACTGCCTGATATTTTATAATATTTTAGAATACTTGCTCCAGTAGTAAAAAACATTTTAAAAGCCGTTTACTGAATTTTAATACCAAGAAAAAATAACACCTCCATTAGAAGGCCAAATAAGTTTTATGGATTCAAACTTACTGCTCTTGTGAAGGAGGGGGGNGCGACTCTTCAAAGTAATAATGTTCGTGGAGAAAAGTAATAATTTGGGACTGCTGGTGAAGAGAGGGAAGTGTTAAAAGAAAAAGAAAAAAACAGATATTGTAAGCTTTCTCTAACTATTTCCTTCAAAAAACAGTAGATTTTCTGTTACTTAAGTAATCAATTGGAATAGGGAAAGGAAAAGCACCTCGCTAAAATTCTATTCTGTTTCAACAGAATCTGTTCTCAAGTTATCAGCAGTAATGAAAAGTAAGTTTCAGGAAAACCGATTCTGACTCACATGGACCCAAAATTGAACAGCGTCAAAAGCAACAAAGAAGATTAAAGGTCAGAAACACTGAGAAAGGATATTCTTGTGCCTCACGCGGTTGCAGCTCATGAGGTGCTGGAAGAGTGAGAGCCCGAGTTTGTGCAGAAAATTTAGGGAAGTATGTTGATAACTCTTTTAAAATTGCAGCAGGAGACAGGTGAAGATCTGGGAAAGCAGGTATCACAGGATCATTCTGCATATAGAGAAAGGTAACAAAGGACAATTTTCCAAGGGGTAGAGAGTATGAAGTAGTAAACTTTATATCATAATAAGAGCAAAATGAACATACCTTAAATATGTTAATAAGTCTGTTGATTTTCACCCTTTTGTACAATGATTCGCTATCTTTCTCTGATGATGATGCTAAGACAACAAGGACAGGCAAAACACGAAGAAGTGTGTGCCTCTCCGGAAACAGAAGTGCAAAATTCAACTCCAACGACTCGACTATGAAGACAATGAGAATTTGAAGAATGTCTTCAACACTATAAAGAGTCAAGGAGCTCAGGAAAAGTAGAGCACAGGAAATGAGTAGACAATTTCATGCCATACATGATAGAAATTACGACCAAATCAAATGATATTTAGATACAAAAAATCGCAAAGTGCAGACATTAGTGGTCAGATATCTTGAAAGCGATGGACATGTGCTGGCTTCATCAGAAGTGCCCTTCTCCATGATTTGTGCTATACTCAATCAAAGTGACTTATATAAAAGGTACTTCAGATTCTCAGAATGCAAAGCTGAACGAATTGACCTCTGATATCGAGGTTGGAAGATTGATTACCTTTCTAATATAAGATCCTCCCAGACAGATTCCATTCTGTCCCAATGGTTAATCCAATCCAGCAGGAAATACCAAGTTGGCTATGTCAAGCACTGGTTATTTCAGATCTTACCTTTCTAAGGCCATTAGCAGAGGGTAGTATATGCCAATGCTCTCTCTTACCATTCTCAGGCGATAATGTCTCTCTTAGGATTTTCTATGCATTCTTCCTCTTTATCTTCTTTTTCCTTTCAGGACGGATTTTGTTTAATACGTAAATAATTTGAAAAAAATTAGGAACATTCATTCAGGGGGAACTAAAAGTATATAAAAGAAATGAAGTAAAAATTCTGAACTTCAAGACAGGATGTGCACAAGTTCCTTTTGCAAAATTCATGGTTATGTTTATAGTGACTCTTGTAGAAGTCAGATTTGAATATTTTCCTCCAAATCAAACTTCTGGCTCCTTTCAGGAATTCTGTCAAAAGAGTAGGTCTGAAAAAGTTAAGTTTAGTTAAGTCGAAACTGAACACTTTTTTATTAAACTTGAAAAGCTGTTTCTCTTTTACTTCCAAAATCGGATAAGTTAAATATCTCAGTTATGAAGAAACCTCAAGATTTACAAGGATGAAAATGAAAATTCCTTCAGACTAAATGTTTTATCACCTATGTAGTTATGAACTTTCAGATATCTAAGATGATTAGCTTCCAATAAATAAGACCTATCATAACAGATCTTGAAGGCCATGAGACACAGTAAATACACATACATACAAACATATACATAGACAAAATTCACTCAGTGCTGCAGCATCATTTTACCATTCCTCTGGGTAGAGAAAGATTATTGGAAGGATACTTGTTCACCCGGAACATCTCAACATGCAAGTTTAACAAAATAGCCCACCTCGTGCTCAAGAAGATCTGAAAATATGTGCAATTCATGTTCAGCACACACAAATACGTGCAAGTTCACATGATGCAAAAACTTAACGTAGACAAGAATTAGATATGCACCTGCAAATCATCCAACTCCTCCCTCATTGAATCTGTATCTTGCCACTGTACACTGACTTGTGTGAATGTTCTGACATATTGGATAAGACAAACAAATGAAACACTTTCACTCAAATAGGAAGTTCTATTAAATGGAAGATGAACTGAAATTCCTGATGTTGGGAGAAGTACAAAAAAGAGGGGAAAAGAGAACAACCATGTAACAAATTTCTTAAGCCGCTTCATTCAATCGATCAACTAAGCTCAATTCCTAACTAGTCTGGCTGACTATATGAATCCTCTGTTTTTTATTGCACTCTATTCAGGCTCATTTTGTTCCAAATTTAGGCTACCTCATTATAAACATAAGAATTTGTTGACTAATACTTCATGAGATACTAAATATATATTTTTTCTGATGCAAGCACCCAGCACAAACAAACAATTAAATAAATTTTTGTGGGACCTTTGGTTTTTTCCATTTCTTCTTTCTTAGTCATTGTTCTCTCTTTTGGACTGTGAAAGGAACACCAAGATTTGGCCCCTTCACCAGGCAGACTGGCAGTTCAGAGCTCAAAGTTGTTCCTCGAGGATCCTGCCTTTTCCACGCCCTTTTGCGCCCCAGGGAGAGGATGTTGGAATTGCCTCTAATTTTCTAGTGCCTAGTGGTTACACAATTTTGTAGGTGGCATAACAGATCTATGTTTTCAAGAATGCTTTCAAATTAAAATCAGAACAGAAGTCTGGGAGCAAAAGCGACCACACTCGGTATACACTGAACAAGAACAAGCAACACTTTAGAAGATATCACTGCTGAAATATAGTTTGCTACTAAGAGAGTTTCAATAAAATATGCAGATAAAAAGTATTGATTGCAATCAACAAGGAAGATCTGCTCATAAATAAACACCAAACATGACGGCAATCATGAAAAATTTCAGAACTTTTACCATCAGTTACAGTGTTTTTCTTTTAAACGATCACTTACAGTGTTCATATAATTCCCTCGTGGTTTGATTGACAAGCATTATTATTGTTAAGTAGTCAATTTATAACATGTTAAGCCTTTGTGCAACCAATTGTCGTAAACGGCAGGGATTGAAAAGTTGAGCACTCATGAAGAACAAACAATTAACATGCACATCTTTACCTTTTGTACCAAGAAAAGTCATTAGGTATACTAGCTTTTGCATTTTTAAGATGATCAAGCTGGATCAGAACATCAAGTAACTTCAGCATGGACCTGCAACAAAATATTTGAAATTTATGCCTTATTGCTCATTGCAAAGTCAGAGATTCAGGGGCATTTGAGCAAAACAAGTAAATTCATCAATCATAAGCTTAAGAAAACAGAACTGACAAACTAAATGTACTAGTAAAGTTGCAAGCTCATTATCACAATATCAGGTCATGATAGAAAAACTTGAGCTGTTCAACTGTATACTTTTTGATCTTTTCTTTGGGCTAATAATCATGTAGTAATGAGAAATCAGGTGGTACAGCAGACATGAAAGAAGGATTCATTGAATGTTTTGGATCTGTGCAAATAACTGGCGTCTTAATTTCTTCACAAAGATTAATCCAACAATACTGCACCGATAAAACATTGTCTCCTAAACAATGAGACAATATTATACACTATACACACATTTTGCCATAAAATCCAGAACTGCATAACCAAGTTTTTGGAACTCATTCTTCCGATACCCTTTTCCCCAATCACCAAGTTATATGAGACACAAGAAATAGATACCTTGGCATGACATGCTAATAAGTTCTGGAATTTTTGTTTCTTTTCCTATTTTCCCTCCAAAAGAGAAAAAACATACTGGTTTTTTCAGGTTAAATCTATGTCAAGAGGAATTTGACTGCCTCGCCTAATTTTAATTGGTCTAAAGTAATAAGCTATGCGTTGTCATATCAAATTTTCAGTAGTCAGACCAAGTACTGAACATTTCGCAAATCTGGACTATTGAAATTTGGCTTTGATGCCTATGTAAATTTTTCTGATACACACTGCTAGGTAAGTAAAGCTGCTTTCAATTGTGCATTTTAATGCAAAGAAGAGACCTCTAACAGAAAACTGACACGCTTGCGAAGATCTTTTTTTAAATTTGGTAAACCTCACCCCCCCCCCCCCCAAAAAAAAAAAAAAAAAAAATTAAAAAAATAGCCCTATGCAGGAGCCAAAGAGTGGTTTTTTCCACTTTGGTTCCTTGGCGACTCAAACCCCTAAGACTGGAGGTGGAGCGCCCTTTACGCTAGGCTTTCCCTTCCCTCGTAACATTTCCGAAGATTATACAAACCATAAAAGAAGCAATTACCATCTAGGATGTGAATATGAAATAGTGGCAAGTAATTTAACCAATTAATGTAAATAATTACAATTCAGAAAAAAGGTAATAGACTAATCTTTTTTATAAATATAAAGAGAATAGACTAATGAAAAGATAAGACACATGTACAGACCATAGATGAGTTACTGTGGGACCATTAATGCGACGCTCCGGTCTGGAAAAACGTTGCATGTCAGCTGCCAGCTGTGTTGAAATGGATCGAGCAGAAAAGCTTGTGTGAGAAAAAATTTATATCTTTAGCAAAGATTTTAGATAAATAGAATCACGGGTTCAAACCTTAGATGCAGCTGATGCTTGCCATCTCTGGATTTCACGCAGACGGCTCATTTCCAAATCCAAAACTTGATAAGTTTCGAGATACAGGTCAGCCTGGCTTTGCTTCATAGAATCTGGAAGCTGCAATACTAAGTCTATATCTATTACAAGTTTATTAAAGGAAAAAGAAAAAGTCGGAAGGTGGAAAAAAGAAGGTGAAGACATCAAAAAAATATGTACAAGAAAGAAAGATTAACAACTTCAATCTGCCATAAATTTGCCTCAATTATTGAGAGGAACTTTATCTCTCAGAAAAATCAGCTTTCAGCACTTGTTTTCTTGCTAGGGCTTCGTAAACACATTTAACTACACAATAAACATCCAAACAAAGTTAAAGGAAATACAAATCTAGATAACATACTTAATATCCCAACAGCAATATACTGCAGTATTTTTAAAATGAAAAGCGCAAAAAATGACAAGGATCATGAGGCTAAAAGCAAAAAGCTTGAAGTGAAACGGACACTGTCAAGTGAAGTGCACTATTTAGAGAAAATTAAATTATACCAACATACAATTTCTATTAAATTGCAATTAAAATAACTAATTTCAGCATTCAAAATACAATAATGTTGATATTAATCTAACTCTTTAAAGTTGAGATTCAAAGAACTGGTTGATTCTCATTAGGATCTTTTTGTGAATCCTGTTTGATGCGTGCACTTCTCTAAAGTGCATGGCTTCACCCATGAAGCGATACTCCCTCCCTTCACTTCATCGCTTTAAGCGACGACATAATAACATTGATATAGCTTGTTATCACATTGAAAAGGTGGTTACATATCAATGTAGACTTGAATCAATTTAACAAACCCTGATGCATTCGAGAATCGTTATATGAAACTTTAATGAATTTGAAAGGAATAGTATAATTTATAAGGAAGCCGTAGAAACATCCTCTTGCAGAAATGCAGGGTAAGGCTGCGTATAATAGACCCTTGTGGTCTGGCCCTTCCCCGGACCCTGCGCATAGCGGGATCTTAGTGCACCGGGCTGCCCTTTTTAGTATAATTTATAAGGAACATTGCTCAAGTACTTCCCCTTTCTCCCATTTTAGTTAAAGTCTGAAGTCATCAAAGATGAAAACAGCTACAACTGGAGTCTATTAAATGGCTAGCATTTCTACTACCAAGGCATACCTACCTAGATCTCCTTAGACCTGGACCCAAGGTGGCATGACGGGTATACTTTGGTTTAAAACGAAGCTACCTTTATGAGCTTTAATGCTACTACATGTGCTGGTTAATAACAAATTTTGCACTCCTTCCACATTTGATTTAGTTTAGTGACCTTGGGCGAAGTTATCAGGAAATTTTACAAGCCAGTTGCTTAAAAAGGTTTTGCTCTTCTTCCTGCTAAAAGTTAAGTATGAATTGAAATTGCTCATTGTTTGTGCTCTCACAAAACTGCCACAGATGTATAGATTTTTTAACTAATAACTGCTACATATATGTAGATATACAACAATATTCTGAAATAAACTACAAACAACACCACATATTATTATCATTTTCACGTACCAGACAAAAAACAAAAAGCTTAGCAGCAAAGTAGAAGATCCTAATAATAATGCCTTATCTCATATTCAGAAATCAAAAGCTTTTTTGTTAGAAGCCGAAGTCCTTTACCAACCTGAGGAAGCGCTTTAACGCAACTTCTATATGTGTAGAGCACGGAACCCATTTCCTTCCCCTCTTGTATAAGTGTGTTCTGCAAACAACTTCAGCATTACATCAAGGAAAAGAAGTGCAATTTCAGCAGCAGAAAACTGGTACAATTTCTTAACATATACCAGCTGGTTAATAGCTTTAGTGTCTTCCGATAATGACAGCCTATATGCAGCCACATCACTGTACTCTGCCAAAATTGAAACATTAAAAAAGGTAAAAGAAAATACCAAAAATTGTGACAGTCACCAAATAATAAATAAGACAATAAAGCAACAATAAAAGGAACACCAGAATTTATGAGGTTCGGCCAATTTTGCCTACTTCCTCGGACACAACTAATATTTTATTCCACTTCAAAAATACAAGTAAAATAATACTAAAGAGAGAAGATACAAACGTCTTAAGAAGATAAGAAGGTAAATGAGAGGTGTCTTTAAATCCTAAACATTTGGCCTTCTTTTATAGGGTGAAGTACCAACCAAAATTGGTACTTCACCGATGTGGGAGTTCTGCCACTCAACAAATCTCCACCTTGGCAAAATTCCGCATCTTCAATTTTCTCTCAATAACAAATTTTGGTTGTGTCTTCATCTTCAATCTTCAGTGTTCAACAATGTTGATCAAATCCAAACAATGTTAAAACTTGACCGCAGTCACCACTTTTGTCAGCATATCAGTAGGATTCTCTGTAGTATGAATTTTCTTCACCGTGACTCCACCTTCTTCTATGATTTCTCGTACGAAATGATACCGAACATCAATGTGCTTCGTCCTTGCATGATAAACTTGGTTCTTCGCTAATTGAATAGCACTTTGACTATCACAAAAAATTGTGATACTTTTTTTTCAATACCAAGCTCTTTTAGCAATCCCTGAAGCCAAATCGCCTCCTTCACAGCCTCTGTAATAGCCATGTACTCTGCCTCTGTTGTAGACAAAGCAATTGTTGACTGCAAAGTAGACTTCCATCTAACTGGTGCCTTTGCAAAAGTAAACACATAACCAGTAGTTGATCTTCGTTTGTCCAGATCACCCGCAAAATCTGAGTCACAATATCCAACTACAGACTGATTGCCTTCCTGCTCAAAAACTAACCCAACATCTACAGTATTATGAATATACCGTAAAATCCACTTCACAGCTTGCCAATGCTCCCTTCCTAGATTATGCATATATCTGCTAATAACTCCAACAGCTTGTGAAATGTCAGGTCTCGTACAGACCATTGCATACATCAAGCTACCAACAGCATTTGCGAATGGTACCTTTGACATATACTCTTGTTCAGCTTAGCGACATAGTAGTACTTAGCTTAAAATGGGGAGCAAGTGGAGTACTAACTGGCTTAGTCTTCTCATCTATGCCAAAACGTTGTAGTACTCTTTTCAAATATTCTTTCTGAGATAAACAGAGTTTCTTTGAACGT